GACGCCGGCCCCCGACGCGTCCCCGCCCGGCTCGACGCCGGCCCCCGAGCTTATGGATCAGAGGAGAGGGTCGAAGATGGGGCGAATCACCATCTACCGGAACCGCGCTCTCGGACACGAGCATTTGATGAAAGACTACTTCGCGGAGGTACCTACATACCCTCCTTGTCTCTTTCGCAGAAGGTACCGAATGCGTCATAGTTTGTTTGTGAAGATTGTCACCGATTGTGAGGCCGCCTCCGATTACTTTAAACGTCATAGATCCGCCGCCGGTATCATGGGGTTTAGTGCATATCAAAAGATATCGGCGGCAATGCGGGTACTCGCTTATGGCATACCCGCGGATTATACCGACGAGTATCTTCGCATTGGGCAAGATACAACCACGGAGTCCGTCCATAGGTTTGCCAAGTTGGTCATCCGGTTGTATGGTGAGCAGTATCTTCGGGCACCAAACGAGGAAGATACAAAGAGATTAATGGAAATGAATGAAAAAGGGGATGGCCGGGGATGCTTGGTAGTCTTGATTGCATGCATTGGAGGTGGAAAATTGCCCAAAGGCATGGCACGGAATGTATTGCAGTAAAAGCCGTGATGCTACCATTGTGCTTGAGGCCGTAGCATCGGAGGACACATGGATTTGGCATGCATTCTTTGGGTTGCCGGGAACACTCAATGATATCAATGTCCTCAATAGATCTCCGTTGTTCAAAAGATTAATTTCTGGGGATGCTCCAGCTTGCAACTACAAAATCATGGACAATGAGTACTCGATGGGATACTATCTCACCGATGGCATCTATCCCGAATGGGCAACTCTTCTGAAGTCCATCAAGGAGAAAAATGGGGTGCCCTTAACAAGAAAAGAGGCTCATTTCACCAAGGCACAAGAGGCAGCCCACAAGGATATTGAAAGAGCTTTCGGTGTTTTGCAAGCAAGGTTTGCCATAGTTCGGGGTCCAGCTCGGTTTTGGGACAAAAAAACCTTGGTGAACATCATGAAATGTTGTGTGATTCTACACAACATGATCCTAGAGGATGAGAGAGGGTTAAACCTCCCTTGTTTCTATGACAATGTTGGTACCCGTGTGCAACCGAAAAGAAACCCTTCTCGCATACACGCTTTTCTTCAAGCACATCGTGAGATTGAGGATGCAACCACTCATGGTCGGCTCCGAAATGATCTAGTAGAGCACCGCTGGCAGTTGGATGGGCTGCGCATTGGCCCATGATGTATCTTTGTTTTACTTTTCTATGTCCTATTTGATTCAAACAATTATTGTAATTTGCTCAAACATTGTTGTAATAATTTGAATGATTATTGTTTTATTTGGTGGTGTAATAATAACTACAATGATTATTGTTTTATGTCAAATGTGATAGAATTTGTGATATGTCATATGATGAAATGTGATGAAATATGTGATATGTGAAATGATAGATTTAAAGGTTGGGGTTGAGGCAAAGACTAGAACCCTCAAACCCAACCCTTAAATCCCTGCTTTTCAATCTTTAAAAATATCAAAAACTGATACTTCTCAACCCTTAAAACTGCTTTAAGGGTTTGAGAGTTTGAGGGTTCTACTTAGACATGCTCTTAGAACTCCGGTGTCGTTTAAGGCATACTGTAAACGAAATTTATAGCAGAGCGGTTTGCCGGATGTGCAGAGATGCTCTAAGATCCAACGGTCGCGATGAGACCAGGTGGGACCTCTTCCTCGGCTGTCGGCTCGTGGCCCCGAGCAGGTGATCCAGGCGGCTGGGCATCGACTTCCCCTACTTGTCATGGCCTTGGCCTCCTTCGCGGTGTCGCCCCCAATCGCCGCCTGCGCCGCCGTCCTCCGCCGCGCCATGTCGTTCTCCTCCGTCTCCGCTGCGTCGCAGACGAGGGTGGGTGTGGTGCAGATGACCTCCGTGGGGGACCTCGACGCCAACTACGCCACCTGCTCCCGCCTCACCAAGGCAAGCCTTCCTCCCTTCCCCTAAGATCTAACCCTGCACCGCCGGGAGCATGGAGTTGGTCGCCTGCTGCGATTTGGAACTGGAAGAAACATTTAGTTGCAGCGAGAAGGAGATATGCAAGTGTGTAGTTATGAGACAATGTGTTTTGGCTATTGAAATGAAGAAATTGTAGCATTTCGTCTCGGACAAAGCTAGTAAGAGGAGGAATTCTGCATTTGATATGCTCTTCTGGGATCTGGAATGCACGAATAGATGAATTATAAGCAAACCTTTAGAAACTGAGTTCTATGTTATGTGTGTGCTGCACCTATCGCAGATTCGCAGTCCTCATTGGTTTTATTCTTTCTACAGTACTTAATGCTGTTCTTTTTTGTTTTCCTACTTTATTGATAGATAAATGCATATAGACTAACATGAGATAATCTTTTCTTAGGAAGCTGCTGCGGCCGGAGTCAAATTTCTTTGCTTCCCTGAGGTCTTCTCCTTCATAGGATCCAAGGATGGCGAGTCTGTTAAGCTAGCCGAACCATTAGATGGCCCAATAATGCAGAGATATTGCTCACTTGCAAAGTTAGTAAGAACATCTTTCTCAATTGCTCACTTGCAAAGTTAGTAAGAATATCTTTCTCAATTTATTTTTCCATTTCAAAGCAGAGCTTTCTCACTTGTACTTTGTAGTGAGTAAGCCTTTTGATTTGATACGCTATCAGCTCTTAGATTTAGGAATAATTGTTTCGCACTATCTTACAGATGATTCTTTCTAACTTTTATGTGGTTTTTTATTTCGTACATCTGTTAGCTTACAAATATCTTTTAGCTTATATAGATACGTACGCAAGTGTATGTAATGCTCCTTCATTAACTATCTGCTGGCACAAAAAATCCTTGCGATTTTGAGGTTTTTAAATGGAGTGAATCAGCATGTCGAGTCCTTATCAAAGCTTCATTATGCAGTGAGTCAAGTATTTGGTTGTCTCTTGGAGGGTTTCAAGAAAGGGGCCCAGATGATTCACACCAGTACAACACTCATGTATTAATCGATGAATCTGGAAAAGTTAGGAGCTCATACCGGAAAATTCATTTGTAAGTGCTTCTTTCACAGCTCTTGGGAGAAACTTGCTTTCAGTAATATTTGTGAGAAACTTGCGTTCAGTAATATTTGCGAGTACTTTATTTTAGCTGTCTATATTTTATCAGTCGTTATCATAGCTTCATTCTGCAGTGAGTCAAGTATGTTGTTGGGGCTTCCAGTAATAGAATGTTGAACAGTAGGTCTTCAATTTACATGGTAAGGGCAAATAATGCTATGAATTGAAGGGCTATAAGCTGCATATATTGTCACTTCCAAATAAGAGAAATGTTGATCACAACTACATTTGTCACGTCATATCACAGAGCTGCACAATCATATTTCTGGACTTGTGTCTAAATAATGAACTTTTGGCAAATGACTGTTGCTTCTTTCTTCCTTTTTACTTTTCCCTTCTTGTTGTGGTGCATTTGCAATACTGTAGTTCGGTAGTTAACCTTGGCATTGTTATGCTGAAGGTTTGATGTGGATGTACCTGGCAACATGGTGTATAAGGAAAGCCGTTTCACGACAGCAGGTGCTATTTATTACTCCCGTTTTCCAAGTTTTGTCTATTCTGTGCAATATATGTATATTTGCTAGAGTTGGTCTTAAATGAACATTCTATCCATCGGATTTGTTTTAAAATCTTGTATATCTGTGGTGCATAGGTTTCTCTTATAAGTTTACTCTCATATTGAAATTATTTTTAATTTCTAACTCGTTGTCACTTTTCCTAACGTCATGTTGTCGTCTAGTTAAACAACTTTCAATGATAGAGATCATGCTATAAGTATAATATGATATTCAATTGCAGTAATACTCTGTGTCCCATTTATTCTAGATACCTAAATTTGAACAGAATTGTTTATGGTGTATCTGGTTTGCCATTTGCAATATACTTATTGTCTTAGAAGATCTTGCAAGACATTCATTATGGATTACCGGATATTTTAGTGTTCTCTGTGCGGTAAAGCTAAATGTTAGAAAATCTTGAAATCTGTTGTATGTGAGCCCATATCCAGGCTGGCCCATAAGGTCCAAGCCCATGTACCCGGCCTAGAAGAGGAGGAGGTCGTCGATGTCTGGCAGTTAGCGCCGCCAGAGCTATCAAGAGGTTAGGCCAACTGCGACGCTGGGACGCATTAGGTCTGTTCACGTCCGTTTGGGTCCTTGTCCGCCACGACCCATTTCTAGCCCAAATTCGGGCCGGGTTTGCGTACGCGCGGACACGCCGCAGACGCTCTCAACGCCCTCCCCATGTCCTCCCCTAGCCCGCTTGTCTGTGGCACAACGACCATTGTTCACCTCGCCCTCCACTGCAACACCCCGACCTCGTCACCCTCGCCGCCGGCACCCAATTCCGGCCGCTTCGCCACCTCCCCAGCCGTTGCGGTCGCATCCATCGACGACCCCACCGCCACCGCCGCCCACTCTTTGTCGGTGTTGTTGCCACTACTCGCCGCCATTGGAGGACTATGAGGCACGTCGAGGCCCAGGTCGCCGATAACACCTCTACCTCCATAGACACTGCCGAAGGATGCGGGCTTCCACATGCTTGTTGCGATGAGGCAAGGGCGGGTCCGTTCGCTGGGCGCCCCTCTTCCACGCCCGAGGCAATCGGCGCCCGCAAGGTGTTCGTCCTTTTGCTCGGCCGAGCCTCCTCCACACCACAAGGTACGGATTCACCACAACTTCGAAGGGGCAACGATGGATAGCTCGGATGAGTTTTTTTTCAACATCCTATGTACATCGACCGGCGATGTGGAATTCGTGGTTGCTTTTATGGTCGTCAACGAGCACATCTCGAGCTAGCGGCCAATGTTTAGGGGATCCATCCGAGGCCACGCTCCGGGCTTGAATCGTAATAGAGAAAGCAGCCATTGCCTACTCTACGACGATTATTTCGAGCTCACAAGCCCACTTTTCAATGCCAAGCTTTTCCCGCAACGCTTCCGAATGGTGAGACATGTGTTCAACCGTCTTGGGGGGGGGATTGAGTATGATGATTACTTGCAATGCAAGCCTGATGCCCTTGGGAAGGTTGGCTTCTCTTATCAAAAATGTACTGCAGCTGTTCGGATGCTTGCATACGACATTCACGGTGATGGCATTTTACAGGTTCTGCAAAGCTGTGGTTGTAGTGTTTGGCAAGGAGTACTTAGAGAACCAAATGATACGGATACAACTCGGTTGTTAGCAATCAATGATTACTTGCAATGCAAGCCTGATGCCCTTGGGAAGGTTGGCTTCTCTTATCAAAAATGTACTGCAGCTGTTCGGATGCTTGCATACGGCATTCGCGGTGATGGCATTTTACAGGTTCTGCAAAGCTGTGGTTGCATTGTTTGGCAAGGAGTACTTAGAGAACCAAATGCTACGGATACAACTCGGTTGTTAGCAATCAATGAATCGAGAGGCTTTCTGGGGATGCTTGGAAGCATAGATAGTATGCACTGGGCGTGGAAGAACTGTCCATTTGCTTGGCAGGGGCAATATAAGAGACATTTTAAGGCTTGCACGGTCATACTTGAAGCTGTGCTATCACAAGATCTCTGGATTTGGCACTCTTCTTTTTGGCATGGCAGGTTCTCACAATGACTTCAACGTGCTTCAGCACACTTCGGTGTTTGCTAGGCTTTCTGAAGGCCAATCCCCAGATGTCAACTTTGAGGTCAATGGCCAACAATATAACAAGGGATACTACCTAGCTGATGGTATCTATCCTCAGTGGGCAACTATTGTGAAGATAACCTTGGAGCCCGTAGGTGAGAAGAGGGCTAGGTTTGCCCAATAACAAGAGTGTTGGGAAGGATGTGAAGCGTGCTTTTGCTGTGCTCCAATCTCGATGGACTATTGTTCGACAGGGTAGAACATGGAGCACTCAGAAGATGTGGGAGGTGATGACATGTTGTGATGCGGAGCATCCTACGGTCATCCCCATGGATGTACCTTCGTCTCCCAAGACACCACGTGGACCCATGACTAGAGCTCGTGCAAGGGCTATCGAAACCGAGGTGAACTCGCTCCTCTCCCAACTAACACATTCCACATGTGAGACATGGCTACTACCTCAAGCAGAGATCTTGTGTGTGATCAGGTACTCGGAGGAAGGCCACGAGTCTGCTATGACCAATGGACAAGATGGCGAGGACACCAAGCGCAAGAAGCAAGAGGAAGAGCTGCAGAAGAACTATAGCCACCGAACGACCGGCCCTTACCGGACGTCCGGCGCCCTGAAAATCAGCCAGCCAGAAGGCCCAGCCGACGAATGTTACATCGGCCGGACGACCGGCGAGTACCGGATGCCCGACACCTTTCGTCGGCCGGACGACTGACGCCCTCCGAAAGTCCGGTGCCACCTATCTAGAACCAAAATGCTAGAAGACCGAAGTCTTCCAGATGCCCGAGACACCGGATGTCCGACATTCACCGGAAATCCGGCGACACCTGTCCAGAACCAAATCACTAAATCACCGGATGTCCGGAGCTCGCGAGCCACCGGACGACCGGTAACTACCGGATGTCCGATGCCTGTCTGTGCACAGCGACTCGGGCCGAGGCCCATGTACCCCTTCACTCCCCTAGACTATATATATTTGTCTACTACCTACGTTTTAGGGTTAGCAAAGGTTAGAGCTCATTTGAGATAGAGCTTTTCTCATCCACTTACCACTCCCATGGAGTTCAAGACCTCCATGTGAGAAGATCCCCCAAGTGGATTCAAGACCCCTTCATGGGAAGATCCTTCTAGAATTCAAGACCTCTCCTCCAAGGATTGGGATGAACTAGTCACCTTTGTATCCTCTTGTGTTGACTTTGGATCCTTGTATTTCCTCTATGTATATGTGGATTTAGCACATGTGTGATTGGATCTTGTCTATTTGAGTGTTCATCTTGTGTTTCTCTTTGATTTACTCTCTTCCCCATCTCCAAGTGTGAAAAGATCGACCATCAGGGTTCCACCCTACATCATGTTGTGTGATCATGCACAACATGATCGTAGAGGATGAACGTGATGACAGCCTCTTTGACCAAGGGTTTGATTTCCAGGGTGAGAACGTTGAGCCTGTGTATGGAGCGGCAACATATGCACAGTTCACCCAATTTCACCAAGAAATACGTGATTAGATAACTCATATTCAACTTCAAAATGATTTGGTTGAGCATATGTGGACTCACATAGGCAACCAATAGATGTATCTGCTATTTTTCTTTCAATGTATTGTTACAGTTTCAAATTCATTTGGTTGTAAACTATGCGATTTTTATTTATTGTGTTGTAATAAAAACTATTTGACTTATTTGTTTAATTGTGAGCAATGTTTCTGTTATCGCCGGTTTAGCTAGGCCCACCGGGCAATCTTAGCCCACAAGTTATCTTAGGTTAATTCTTATGCAAGTTATCTTAGGTTAATTCTTATGCAAGTTATCTAGGTTATAAATATAGGCTGTAAGACTCTTTTTGGAATTAAGCAATAAGAATATCATTATCCCTATTGCCCGGCTCCCAGAGGAGCCGGAACCCTAGCCGCCTCTAACCCTAGCTGCCGCCGCCTTCTCCCTCCGACGCGACGGCGCCCAGCCGCCGGCGCGCCCGTCCATCGCCCCGTCCCACTCCATCCTTCCCCTACAACCTCCGGAGCAGGTCCGGTAGGACCCCTGGTTCTACTAGTTTCATTTTTATTTGTTCTTTTGATTTATATGTATAGAATGTCTAATTTGAGAAAAATTGGTAACAAAATGGCCGAGCCGGACCAAATGGGTTGGCCGGTTGGGTGCACTGGGAAGAATGGCGCGGACAAGGCCGGACAGCGGCCAAAGTGGCGACCCAAACGGACAAAATGCGCATCCGTTTTGCGTCCCTGCGTTGGAGTTGGCCTTAGTCACCACATCCCTACATTGTATCAGAGGACGGGGCGTGAGGAGATGATGGTGGCGACGGCCGCTGAGGCAGCAGGATCCGGCAGTGAGACGTCGAATCTGGGCAAGCAGCATGCGAGGAAGTGGGGCTGCGTGCGAGTTTGTGGTGTAGCAAGGCAGCGCAGACGTCGACGGGACGTGAACGGCGACAGCGGGGCTGGTACATGTCCAGATTCCTCTGGCTCCTTGCTGGTCCTTCTGTTCTGCTGCTTGCTAGTTCTTCCCCTGGTTGCTGGCTCTTGAGGTTGGACAGGAAAGAGGTGGAAGAAGAGGTCGTGCTGGAGAAGGGGACGAGCTACTGTTGCTGCGCAAGGGGAGGCGCGGCTCGGGTGTGTCTCAGCCTCGTTCTGGGACAAGATGAAGACGACACAGTGCTGAGCTGTGGCTGACTGCTGAGCTCTCGGTGCTTGGCAGAGGAAGCTGCTGGGTGCAGTGGCGCTGTGGGTGATGAGCTGCTGCTGCTGGGTGTTGTGCCGCTGCTGAAGTTTTTTTGCTGCTGCTGATTGGAGAGGGAGACAGAGGCAACACTGGTGGGTGGTACAGTTTTGTACCATGTTGATCCAACATATAGCGAATTGTTAGAGGAGAACATGGTGGACTTGAGTGCGCCACTTGATGATTTTGAACCGGGAATGCAACCGCAAGCCGAGCCCTATCCAGAGATGGGAGGAGAGGGTTGACGGTGATGACGAAGTGGAAGAGCTTGATGAGGAGTTTGATGCTAGCCAAGCCAATTTCGCGAGAAGGACCCGGAACTACACCGAGGTGGAGGACGCTTGCTTGATTCGAGCATGGGAGAGTGTGTCTCTCGATGCGGTGACCGACAAAAATCAAAATGGCAAGAAGTATTGGCAACGTATTGAAGTAAAATATCACAAGATTGTGCCGGTTCCTTCGGGCCGTTCCTTGAAATCACTTCAAGGCCGATGGATAACTATCAAGAAAACATGTAGTCGTTGGAGTGGTTGCTTGACCCAAGTGAGAAATGCCCCTCCTAGTGGATCCACTATCACGACTACGTGAGTAGTTTTCTTTCTATCTCATAATTCATGATTATGTTGATGACTAATTGATCTCACCGTTGCATCTTTTCCAATGACTTGTAGGATCGCATTGCCAACGAATTGTTCAAGCAAAGCCTGGGGTTTCAAGGGTAGGTCATTCACACTTGGACATTGTTGGCTCTTGCTCAAGGATAGTGAGAAGTGGAAGTTGAGGGACAAGGAAGCTCCTCCAAAGAAAGGCTCACTTGTTAACTTGGAGAATGATGAAGATAGTGATGGTGCACCAAAGGGAGGAAGAAACAAAGGAAACCGGATGGAAATAGGAAGGAGAAGGAGAGGGTGAAGAGGTCGGCCGAGGTGGTTTCTTTGAGGGATCAAATTGGTGATATGGTGAAGATCAAAGAAACTTTGTTGGCCAAGCATTTGGCAACAAAGGTTGAATTGACTGAGAAGAAAGACAAGCACAAAGAGAAGTGGGCAAGGAGGTCTGTCTTTGAGGAGCACAAGATTGCTCTAGAGGAGCAAAGGAGAGATGAGAAGACCGCCGAGGAGGACCGGTTCATGATGATGAATCCGGAGGGCATGGATGTGATGACAAGAGAATTTTGGGAGATGAAAAGGATGGAGATCATGTGCCGAAGGAGGGTGGAGCTTCAAAATCTTATGGCCGGTCGTGGTGGTTTTGCTTTCGGCAATGGTGGGTTTGGAGGTGGCGATGGTGGTGGGTTTGGAGGTTTTGGAGGAGGGTTTGCATTCGGCAATGGTGGTGGGGGTGTTGGGTTTGGAGGTGGAGGTGGTGGTCTTGGGTTTGGAGGTGGAGGAGGTGGTGGCGGCGATGCTTCGGCCAACGGTGGTGAAGATGCTTATGTTGGGAAACGTAGCATGCAATTTCAAAAAATTCCCTACGCTCACGCAAGATCTATCTAGGAGATGCATAACAACGAGAGGGGGAGAGTGCGTCCACGTACCCTTGTAGACCGAAAGCGGAAGCGTTTCACAACACGGTTGATGTAGTCGATCTTCTTCTCGTTCCGACCGATCAAGCACCGAACGTACGGCACCTCTGAGTAATGCACAAGTTCAGCTCGATGACGTCCCTCAAACTCTTGATCCAGCAAAGTGTCGAGGGAGAGTTCCATCAGCACGACGGCGTGGTGACGGTGATGGTGAAGTGATCTGCGTAGGGCTTCGCCTAAGCACTACGACAATATGACCGGAGGCGTAAACTATGGAGGGGGGCGCCGCACACGGCTAGGAATCAATGTTGTGTCTTCTAGAGGTGCCCCCCCCCCACATATATATATAGGCGGGAGAGGGAGGGGAGCAGCAAGGGGCGCCCCAAGTAGGAGGGATCCTACTTGGCCGCCTCCTCCAAGTCGGCCTCCCCCCTTCCATATGCATCGGAGGGGGAAGGAAAGAGAGGGGGGAGGCCGAATCCTCCCCTTTCCTTCTCCCTTCCCTCCTTTCCTTTTCCTCCTATTTCGGCCTATAGGGGGGCGCACCAGCCCCTTAGGGGCTGGTCTGTCCCTCTCTTGGCCCATTAGGCCCATATAGTTTGCCGAGGGATGCTCGGAACTCCTTCCGGTGACCCGATACGTACCCGGTATCCCCGGAACATTTCCGGTGTTCGAATACTATGGTCCTATATATGAATCTTTACCTCTTGACCATTTTGAGACTCCTCGTTATGTCCGTGATCTCATCCGGGACTCCGAACAACATTCAGTCACCAAATCACATAACTCATATAATACAAAATCGTCATCGAACGTTAAGCGTGCAGACCCCACGGGTTCGAGAACTATGTAGACATGACCAAGACACCTCTCTGGTCAATAACCAACAACGGAACCTGAATGCTCATATTGGTTCCTACATATTCTACGAAGATCTTTATCGGTCGTACCGTAATGACGACATACGTTATTCCCTTTGTCATCGGTATGTTACTTGTCCGAGATTCGATCGTTGCTATCTTCATACCTAGTTCAATCTCGTTACCGGCAAGTCTCTTTTACTCGTTCCGTAATACATCATCCCGTAACTAACTCATTATTCACATTGCTTGCAAGGCTTATCATGATGTGTATTACCGAGAGTGCCCAGAGATGCCTCTCTGATACTCGGAGTGACAAATCCTAATCTCGATCTATGCCAACCCAACAAACACCTTCAGAGATACCTGTAGAGCATCTTCATAATCACACAATTACGTTGTGACGTTTGATAGCACACAAGGTATTCCTCCGGTATCCTGGAGTTGCATAATCTCATAGTCAAAGGAATATGTATTTGACATGAAGAAAGCAATAGTAATAAAACTGAACTATCAATATGCTAAGCTAACGGATGGGTCTTGTCCATCACATTGGTACCTTTTCATTTTTAGTGCCTAGATATGGTATCTTTTCTTCAATAGTTCCATGAAACATTTTTGGATTAAGAGTTGGCCTTCGGTACCGTACACGCTACTAAGATGTCTGCGGGGAAGAACGTATAGGGCCAACCGGCCAGCCCCGGGCCGAGACTAGCTGGCCTGTGCCAAACAACAAAGCAGCTCGAAAAATGCGGAGATGGCCCCCATTTGTGTGCGGTGCAAAGATATGCGGACGGGTGCTCACATTGCGGCCAGCCCTGGGCCGAGACTAGCTGGCCCGTGCCAAACAACAAAGCAGCTCGAAAAATGCGGAGATGGCCCCCATTTGTGTGCGGTGCAAAGATATGCGGACGGGTGCTCGCATTGCTTTTCACACAGACGGGCGGAGGCGTCTTCCGGCAGACGGCCCGAGCCTCCGGGCGGTTCGGGGGTGGCCCAGCCGGTCTGGCCCGAACCGTCCAGGAAGCTGAGTGGGCAGGCTAGCCTAGCCGAACTGGCCCTCAGCCGGCCTGGCCCCGGCTGGTCAGACAATTGAAAGGGCCGGCTGGCCCAAACGGCCGTCCTCTTTTCTTTTTCTTCTCTTCTTTTCCTCGGCCAGCCAGCCGAAGCAGGCGGCAGGGAGCCAGCTGCGTGGGTGCGGTGCGAGGCGATGCGGGCGCGGAGCTAGCTGGAGCGGCGAGCTGACAGTCGGGATGTGGCCGGTGTGGGCGCGAAGCCGGTTGGAGCGCCGAGCCAGCGGGCGGGCCGCGGCCGCGGTGGTGCAGGCGCGGAGCCAGCAAGAGTGGGGTAGAGACGTCCGGAGCGGGGCGGAGCCCGCGAGCGTGCGGGCGTGGCCCGAGCCGGGGTGCACGGACGCCGGGGACGGGGCGGCGCGGTCGGCGAGACGAGGC